GCACAAAAGACGCTGAACGATCTGGATGCCCTGTTGAGGTTACCACTTCAGAAATCATTGATAAAATCCATGATATGGTGATGGCTGACAGAAGAATGAAGGTGCATGAGATTGCTAGTACTGTAGGCATCTTGAGCGAATGGGTACATAATATTTTGCACCAACATTTGGACATGAAAAAGCTGTCCGCTAGATGGGTGCCGCGATTGCTCACGATTGACCAAAAACGAGATCGTGTGAAGTGTTGCAAGAATGGTTTGCAGCTGTTCCAGCAAAATCCGCAAGACTTTAAGTGTCGTTTCATCACTGTAGACGAAACATGGATACATCACTAAACTCCTGAGATCAAAGAACAGTCTAAACAATGGGTTACCAAGGGGAAATCTGCTCCGAAAAAGGCGAAGACAATTCCTTCGGCCGGGAAGGTTATGGCGACTGTCTTTTGGGATTCGCAAGGAATAATCTCATCGACTATCTGGAAAAGGGTAAAAACATTACAGGCGAATATTATTCATCGTTATTGGATCGTTTGAAAACCGAGTTGCTAGAGAAACGTCCACCATTGGCCCACAAAAAAGTCCTCTTCCACCATGACAATGTGCCAGCTCACGCCTCAGCAGTTGTGGCCGCAAAACTGATGGAGATAGGGTTCCAACTCGTTTCACATCCCCCCTATTCTTCAGACTTGTATCCGTCGGACTACTATTTGTTGCCTAATATGAAAAAATGGCTGGCGGGGAAAAGATTTTATTCAAACGAGGAGGTGATTGCAGAAACGAATGCCTATTTTACAGATTTGGACAAATCCTATTATTTGAAAGGGATTAACAAACTAGAGCAGCGTTGGATGAATTGTATAAGCCTAAAAGGAGACTATGTTGAAAAATAAAGATTTATTAAAAAAAATCAAGCAGTTTTTATTTTTGCACGGACTTTTCAAACGACCCTCGTACTTATTCCACCCGAAGCTACAAATTACTCATTATGGAATGCGACCAAACGATTAAACAGAACAACTTCGTTCATACCATCTATTCAGATAAGAAAAAAAATTACAACTTTCGCAAATCATTTAAGCGAAGTATTCAAACTTCATCAAAGGATAATCTCTGAACAAGAAGTAGAAGCTTTACTGAAGGATCCCAAATAGTGCAGGACCCAGTTAAAATAAAGAAAGTATTCAAAATAACTAATAAGGTTATGATAATATTATGGTTCTGATTATCTAGGTTATGATAATATTACGGGAAAAATTATTAAAAGCTTCCCACAAAAGCAATTGATAGATCACAATCATATTTAGTGTATGGTGTAACGGGGTAGTTAATCCGTTTTTATTTCTTTATTTCGCTCGACACGCAATCGTACCGGAATGCGTGCGGTGAAATCGAAATATTCGCGTTTATTAACCGGAGAGCAGGAGGGGACAGGAGTCAGTCAACCAACTTACTACTAATAACAATGACAACAGTAAAATTATCTGTCAAAGTTTCAGCCAGATTCGTCAAATGGTTCCGTTTTTATTGTTGATTAAAGTGAAAAACTTTTGTTTATCTTTTAATTATAGAAAAAAATAATGAATTTCAAGCGGTAATAAAATATTTCTATTTAAAAGGCCTTACACCGAAAGAAATCAAAGTTGAGTAAGAAACAGTTCATGTCGTATCCGCCCCTATACTTACAACTGTTTACAATTGGATAAATGAATTCAAACGTAGTCATACATCAACAAAAGAAGAACATCATTCAGAACTACCTGTATAAGTGAGTACCCCTCAAATGATTTACAAAATTCACGATATGGTGTTGAGTGATCGGAGAATAAAATTGCATGAAATAGTTTAGGTAACGGTATCAACAGGTACTGTTATTTCTATTTTGATTATAAATTGGACATGAGAAAAATATTGGCAAGATGAATGCCCCGTTTGCTCACAATAGAGAATAAATGCAATCGTATAGTCGTCACTAAGGCTTTCCTGACGCACATCCATCATAACTTGGACCATTTTCTACTATAATGTATAACTGTAGACGAAATATGAATACACCATTATACTTCCGAGACGAAGGTACAAAACAGTGGATTGTTAAAAGTGAACGGGTTTCAGTGAAGGTAAAGACTTTGAACTAGATCGGCAAAGTTAATCCACTGTGTTTTGGGATGCACGTGGAATTATCTTCATCGACTATTTAAAAAAGGACAAATAATTACCGGAGAATATTATTGGACCAGTTAAGTGAGAAAATACAGGAAAATTGTTCTTATTTTAACAAATAAATTCTGTTTAATCAAGCGATTCACGAACTTACATTTGCAGTTTTAATGGCTAAAATTTAGGAATTGAAGTTTGAATATATTGACCATTCATTGCGTTCACCAGATTTGGCCCCGAATAACTAGTTGTTATTTCCATACCTAAAACAGTGGCTTACCGGATAGCTATTCATATCGAATGAGAAGATTATGATAAAAACAATGGCTATTTTGAGAAACACTTAATTAGGTTCTCCAGTAAAGTAAATTTTTTACACATTAATGAATTTGAAATCTATCATAGATAATATTAATGTATGTGTACAAAAAAATTTTAGGTCATGTTATCGCACGTTTTCCAAAAATATAGCGTTTTCAAAATTATCGTTATCATACTCAGACTGTGGCCATACAAATATTTTTAACTTCGCTTTATTATTATCTTGCATAACCAAATTGATCAGTATTCATAACGGAAGTATAGGTCTTCAATAAAAAAAAATAATTAGCACCATTCATAGAGTATTTCAATATAAAAAACCGTATTTATATTGTCAACTTTCTCAATTGACCCCCACTATAATGAGTATACGAGGTGTGATCAAAAAGTAAGGCGAATTTTTATTTTTCTCAAAAAATATTAATTTATTCATCAATTTTTATTTTATCTCCTTCAAAGTAATCCCCCTCGGATATAATGCACTTGTGCCAACGCTTTTTCCAATTCTCAAAGCATTTCAAAAAATCATTTTTTGTGATCTTGTTTAGTTCATTCTTCGATGCCGTCTTTATCTCCTCATTCGTGGCAAAACGCCGTCCTTTCATGGGCCTCTTCAGTTTTGAGAACAAGAAAAAGTCACAGGGGGCCAGATCTGGGGAATACGGTGCATGTGGCATCGTTACTGTGTTGGTTTTAACCAAAAATTCGCGCACAAGCAACGATGTGTGAGCAGGGGCATTATCATGGTACAAAAGCCAATTTTTATTTTTCCACAAATTCGGACGTTTCTGGCGGATTGCTTCGCGCAAATTGCGCATAACTTGCAGGTAATATTCCTTGTTTACTGTTCTACCCTGTGGCAAGAACTCATGATGCACCACGCCCCTGCAGTCAAAGAAAACTGTAAGCAAAACCTTTACATTTGATCGAACTTGGCGTGCTTTTTTTGGTCTTGGTGATCCAGAATGCCTCTACTGGGACGATTGAGTCTTAGTCTCGACGTCATAACTGTATACCCATGTTTCGTCACCTGTTATAACCCTGTTGAGTAAATCTGGATCATCGTTGACGTCATTCAGTAGCTCTTGGGCGATGCTCATGCGACGTTTCTTTTGGTCGAAATTGAGCAATTTCGGAACAAACTTCGCTGACACACGTCTCATGTCTAAAACACTCGTCAAAATTGATTGGCACGAACCAAATGAGATGCCAATATCATCAGCAATTTCTCTAATGGTAATTCGACGATTTCCCAACACTATTTTCTTCACTTCTTCAACATTCTCATCCGTTGTTGATGTGCTGGGGCGTCCAGAACGAGGTTCGTCGTCGGTGTCTTCTCGGCCTTCTTGGAAGAGTTTATACCACTTGTAAACATTTTTTTGGCTTAAAGTAGACTCACCGTATGCCACTTTCAGCATTTCAAGTGTTTTGGAACATTTGATTCCATTTTTCACACAAAATTTAATGCAAACTCTTTCTTCTGCATGTTTTTAGACAGCAGCAAATCGTGGAGCACGCAAAACACTTCTAACCTTGATGCCTCTCACAAACAAACCAAACATACTACAAAGCTGAAATTTGGAACGTATGTTCTAGACGAGTGTACCGACATAACCAAATAAAAAAGTCGAAGATCGAACGGACGTAGCCCGCTAAATTTCAAAATTCACCTTACTTTTTGATCACACCTCGTATATTTCGTTATTAAAGTAACTTAACAAACTAACAAAGCAATAAGCTTTTCACAGGATGATTGTTAGATATTGAGGTTTGGCTTTTCATTATAATACCATGACCTTATCGGCCTTATAGAAAAGTTTTCTAATGAAAATCATACACAAAATGTTCAACTTTGATTAAGATAGCTAGACAGTGTAAATTTGGCAACGTTGCAATGGACGGCTGTATGGCTTCGGCTACTGCGCATGTACATACAAATAAAAAAATAGTCTTTCATTTTTTCAAAACAGTTGATAAATTTATTTATTTATGAATATGTTGCATTTTCGCTCATTGAGTTTATAAGTACAGTATCTGAACATTTTGTCGTAGTAATAGGCATTTCGTAGAGTTACATTAAAACATAAATTATTAAATTACATACATACTTGCGCAAATGAACAAAATTTTGACTGTAGCGAATGATGTAATGCTGTATTGAAGGAATCATTTTTGATTATGATTACACGCAACAACCACAACTCATTAAAAATTAAACTACAATAAAAAATATTGTTCTAAAGAATTATTCATTTAAATTAATAACATAATTTTTTACATTACAATATATATGGAACAATGTAATTCAATTGTTATCGATTCTCTTATGCAGTAATTTTTTTAATAGCTGTAGCGCGAGCTAATTTGTGCTTTACTCGTCGATCGGAGTAAAATATTATTTTCGAGTATATTTTTCAATTAATCTCGAAAATGTCAATATTTACATTGCACAATTATTAATCAAAATGTACATGTCAATGAAAGCAAAATCTTCAGTTTGCCGAAGTATTAATTTTTTTATCAACGTGGCAATACACTTTTATGTTTCGTAAGTCGCGGTCGACCTCTTACACCTTCACCAAGCAGGACTTCTATTCCTTTTGGACCTTTTGCTTTGTAAACATCAATAAGTATATTACGATTAATACCTGCTTTTGCTATTCGTGATAACATATTAGATGAAATACAATCTTTGAGATATTCCAAAGAAATTTTGTTAGTAGAGTGGGTAGTTTTCAAAGCTTCACTGCGTAAAAAATCGAAAATACTCTGAGTGAGATTGATAATTATTGAATTGTCAATTTTAATTTTAGCAATAAGCTTTTGCAAAGTATTGATATCTGTAAGAGCATTGTCCACTCCCTCTACGCTTTCCGAACCTAAATAATCCGTAGCTAGAAACGTTTGAGAAAAAGACTTTTTTTCTTTCTTACGTGCTGGAAAAACTTTGTGAAAGATGTTCAGTGTATCTCTGAATCCACTTACAATAGTCTTAAATTGTTCCAGCAAATGGAGTCTCGATAAAGTCCTTAATAATAATGGAAATTCCAATCTGTATTCATTATGAGCTACAAGTATAACATTGTTGTCTTGTTGATGCAAAAATGTTAAAAAGTCTTCGAATGCAACTCGCAGTGACACAGTTTTTAATAATGTGTCATCGTAAAACATCTCGTCCCCAATAACCTGAAAACCAGTGATATCATTGATGCGCTTTGGTACACCTCTTGAAGGAATAACATAGGCACTATAAATTTCATCTTTTGAACAAGCTGCAATCTAGAAAAAAAAAAAAAATATATTTATACCAGAGCATAAAATAAATTTATTTATTGAATATTTATTTAATTTACTTGCGTCATTTCTGGATGATTATTATCTAGATCCGTCGTTTCCAAGTCGAAGAAAACTAGTTTAGCATTCGTGTAATCGCTTTGATCTAAAAATTATAAATTTGTATCAATTGTAACGGTGAAATCGGCCGTTCCCGTCTTGGTAGCTCGCGGCCGTCCGCACATATTATTTATTTGGAGATTCGGGAAGCAAAAGACGTTCCCACGACTGAATAACGCGTCGAGCAAAACCACGTTAAACGCACGGATTCGAAGTCGGGATGAGGAGTGATACAGTGGCGAATAAACACAACATCGGATTAATACACTAATCCTTTACTTGTCAACAATCGACTACAAGACGGCGATCTCACGCCGATATACTACAAGCGGCACATTAACAAACGCGGGCGCGAAGGTGAATCGGTGGCTGGTCAGCCTGCCGATTCCCTTTTGAAAGCTAATTATTACAATGAATGCCCGATAAAAAATTTCCGTCATCGTTTCGTTAACGGGGTAGCCGGCAGATCTGCCACACTATTCACCCATGAGCTGGCGCCCAAACATGCAAGAAAGAGAGGGAAAAGAGAGAACACGACACCGACCTCGACCTTCAACCTCTCTGACGGCTAGAACGCTGCGCTGTATGACGTCACTGGTGCGCTCCTTCTCGTTAACCGCCTCGATGGTGTTATTATCGTCGCTGTTTGTTCTCTCGCTCGTCCTCTCGTTTGATCTATCAATATTGCCGCCTCAACCTGTTGTTACGCTCGTTGTTATTGCTTCCGTCGCGGTTACCGTTGGTTACTCACTGTCTGCAGAAACAACGAAGTCCGCTCACCCGCGCACTCGCGCACCTCGCCGGTTCCCCACACTCATCGGTGCCAGGTATCTTTCGGGACACGGCTGGGTGCGACCCAGCTATAACATTCTATTTCTCGTCCGCGCACCGGGCATGTCTCCGAAAACGAACGTTGACAAGGTCGCGGGGACAACTGCACTATAACGTCTGAATTTCTAATTTACATAATCAATATACTTTTCTTTAAAATGCCAAATCTTACCGTTTATTTAACTGTCTATTAATTAATCACGTTTTGATTTCTCGATAGGAAATAAAAATATGGTAAACATTTTAGTTTTTCTTCAAATTATAATGTAACGAATTTTACTGTATTACAATATATAATTTTATTATTATTTATTTCTTGTTACCCAATGAGGTTTAAATTATTGTTTCTTTATTAATAAGTCGAGACAGATCGGTTTCGTTGAAAAAATAGTCATTTGAAAATAAGTTACTCACCTAAATAAATAAGGTAACAAAATAATTTGAAAGTCTGAAAATACCAATAAAAATAATATCTTTTACTATTTCTACTGTAAATCTCGTAATCGTACTTATTTTAATTTGTTGTCAATTGAAATACAAATAGATTATCGTCAACGCAGTCACGAAAGTAAGCCTGAAAACCTCATGTGTCATGAAAATATGTCCGTGATCAATAGGAGATAGTGGAATAATAATAAGTACAACAGTTTGGATCTCAACCAGAGACCAACCAAAATTAATTAATCGAGTTTCTAAACTATGGCATATAGTCTGATAAATGACAGTCAACGTTATCGGTGAAGTAAGTCTGATAATTTCGTGTTTTATTAAAAATCAGTCTTCCTGTTAAACAGAGCTAAAAATGAATGTCGCATAGAATCGCTTTTTAATGGTGAGGAAAGGAGGTGGAGGAATTCTCAAAAATTGGAATACTAAGATTACGTAGAGTGAGGTGGTAACTTGGAATACTACGTCAATTCAAAAAAAGAAATTTCTCAGGAATTAAGGAAGCAGCCTGCTTTAGGAGGCCCAGAAAAAAGCGTTTTTTTTTCTAATTTTTGTTGGTCAGGAAAAAAGGCAACTGTAGCGAAGTTTTCGCACTATTTTATTGTATATTTGAATTGAAAATAAATTCTGCGGTAAAAAATAACGTCATTTCTCTAGGCGGATCTATTTGCCTACTGGAAATGACGTCATTTATTGTTTCAAATTTTGACACGATTCAATGATGTCATTAAAAGACATTATTAACAGATATCATTTATTGACGTTATTATTTTCAACAAGGTTAGCTAAATATTACATAAATTTACTTACAATCAACTACTTAATAAGTCTGATAATCGATTCTGAAGATCCTTTGCCTAATCTCTAATAACCTGTAATTTATTACTTTTCAACAGTTTATATAAATGATTTTTGCTATATTAGTAGAAACTCCAACATGGAAAATATTTGCTAAAAGACAATAATAATTATACACTTTTGTTCTAGATTTTCAAAAATGTCCAATAAATTACTTATCGCATCTATAGTAAAATGTTTAACACAAATATTAAATGAAGATGAACTTGCCGCTGATTCTCGAGAAAGTTTGGAAGTATCAATTCAATGTTTAGAAAGTGCATTTGGTGTGAATATTGTTGACGCTGATCAAGACTTCGATATATTACAGTTATATCGTAATATACTTACTGTCAAGAACCAAAAAAATTTATATGACATTACCAAAGATGCGAAAATTGAAGCTGAAAAACTTAAGAATGAAGGGAATGCGCTCATGAAAATAGAAAAATATCAGGAAGCTCTCCTAAATTATACAAAGTAAGAATATTTTCTCTTAAAATACTATTACTCACACATTTTACTTTTGCAGAACTCCATTTTTGTATCTAATCAACAATAAAAGATAGAACCGTTTTGTAACATCGGGCATATTTAAAGACATTTTCTAATTTTTTTGTATTCTTACTATTATTAATAATATAATCAACAAAGAGTAATATTTGGTAGGACTACAAGATCTGATTAATGTCTAATTATACACAAAAAATTATGACTATCGAAAACCTTTTAAATATTTTCTGATTCAAAGTTTAATTTGTGTGTAAACAAGCAAAACACTTTAGAGTTTTTAATTTTTATTTTAATCTTTTAATAACTATCTTTTTTATCTTTTTTATCTTTTTATCTTGTTTTTCTTTTTTTATCTTTTTTATCTTTTAATATCTCTTTTAATAAGTTGAAATCAGGAATTATGAGCCTATAGAAGCTCAAATGCAATAATAATTAAATAATAATTAATAATAAATAATTAAATTATTTTAAAACAATTGTTTTGAAATAAAAAATTCGATTTTGTAATTAATTTTAATAAAATATAAAATAACCTTGCACGAACAATAAATAAAGTAATAGCGTCATTAACAATGTTCAATTCAGTACTTAATAGATGCCATCTCTCATGTAAATTGGAAACCCGAAAGAACAATTTTTTTACGGTGAGGCAGAAATTCGTAGACATACGATCTACCATAATTGGAAATTGCTATAGTTTGTCAACAACTGGAATTATTTTCAGTTATTATTTCAATGGTGCAAACATTAAAGATTGATGCGAAACACTTAATATGATTCTACAGTGGCCATTTCCCTCATAGTTATTGTTGTTTCGTTATCATGCGTCTTACGACAACGGATCTTCATTTACTTTCAATAATAACGAGAAGAACGTTTTGATGGTAGTTTGCTCCTATCACAAAAGTTATTATTACTGCACGAGAGGTGTTAAAAAAAAGTGACTTCAATTTTCGCGGGTTACATACATTCAAGTTTTTAATTTTTGTTGTTGTTTTGTTGGTACACTAGCCACGATCATATATTCATAGTTTGGACTATATATAGCATGTGTTGTTTTTCTGGCAGAGGCGTTAGAGGTTTGCATTAAATTTTGCGTGAAAAATGGAATCCAGTGCTCTAAAGCTCTTGAAATGTTGACAATTGTATACGGTGAGTCTACTCTGAGTAAGAAAAATACGAATAAATGGTATAAGGTGTTCCAAGAAGGCCAAGAGAATATCGAAGATGAACCTCGCCCTGGACATCCTAGCACATCAACAGATGAAAACGTTGAATAATGAAAGAAATTATGTTAAAAAATCGTCGAATTGCCATCAGAGAAGTTGCTGAAGATGTTGGCATGTCGGTTGACTCATGCCATGATATTCTTTCGGATGTTTTGGGCATGAGACGTGTGTCAGCAAAATTCGTTTCAAAATTGCTTAATTTTGATTAAAAGAACTGTCGTATGACCATTGCTTAGGAGATGTTGAATGAAGTGGATGAAGATCCTGATTTTCTCAAAAGGGTTATAACTGGTAATAAATTGGTATATGGTTATGATATCGAAACTAAAGTCCAATAGTCCCAAAAAAGCACGTCAAATTCGATCAAATGCCAAAGTTTGGCTCACTGTCTTCTTTGATTACCCTGTCGTAGTTCATCAGGAATTCTTACCACAAGGTCGTATAGTCGATACGGAGTATTATCTTGAAATTATGTGTTGTTTGCAAGAGACAATACACAAAAAACGTCCGGAACTTTGGAAAAACAATTCGTAGATTTTGCATCGCGATAATGCACCCTCTCATTCATCGTTGCTTGTGAGAGATTTTTGGTCAAAATCAACATCACAGTCATACCTCAGCCTCTATATTCACCGGATTTGTCTCCTAGTAACTTTTTGCTATTCCTAAAACTTAAGAAACCCATGAAAGGACATCGATTTTCAACGACTGAGAAGATAAAAACTGCATCACTGGAAGAACTCAAGGCTATACCTTAAAATGATTGGCTATTTTTGTGCTACGATGATTGGAAAAAGCACTGGCACAAGTGTATTATATCTAACAGGGATAACTTTGAAGGGGGTAACATATATATTGATAAGAAATACGTATTTTTTGAGAAAACCATAAAATCACCTTACCTTACTTTTTAAATACCCCTCATATAATGCTTAGTTCTATTGTTATAATATCAATATTTTACGTTAATTATACGTAAATTTAATAATAATTAATTAAAATTCTCATTTACAATAACGCAAGCGAATATTTTTAACAGAAGTCTGAATTTATAAATGAATTGTGCATATTTCAATGAATAAAAGTTGATCTATCACCCATTTAAGGATACCATTTGTAAGCGATGAACAATTTATTATACTTCTGCGAACGAGGCAAGTAATTTATGCACGTGTCAGAAGTGAGGAAGAAGCTGTTGGATATATGACATTACAAGAGATAGGGAAAGGATTGTTATTCGACAATTTTGTCGGTACCAATCATAAAGGAAAAGTATATGCCTTGTGCTTCAATACTATAGAAAATGTTATCACTATAAATACTCCTGGGGTGACATTAGAATCCTGCGAAACAATGGCCAGTTTTGACTCAACGAACACCGATAATTTTACTCAAGATGTAAAAATATTTATAATAATGTCTACCAAAAGTGTTGACGATCAAGTCAAGAACCCAATTACAGAAATGACGCCAGAAGACATTGAAAACAGAGTTTAAAGAATATTTGACAAACTTGGTCCTGAAACATTAAAAGATGAAATGCCAGCGAAAATTAAACATATCAAGAACTTAGACCGACATCGCCCTCGTATCTTCGGACTGCTTAGTGAATTGCTTCAAACTACACACCTGATCACGCATAAAATCGTAATTACTCGCGACGATCTAATATAAATTATAAGATATCAATACTCAACAACAGTGAACAGAGAGAAAAAATGGCGGACTGTTACGGACTTTCGGCAGCTAAATGCTATCATCATCGACTTCGGTTATATGTTGCCGACTACCATGAATATTGTAAATAACGTAGCATCAACACAGTTCATATTGTTAATCAGCTCAAAGAACGGATTTTTTTCAGTACCTATGAATTCTATAAATGCACACGAGACCGCATTCTTAGAACGCAGAGGACATTTTTAGTTTATTGAATGGGTACGGAATTAAAAAACGCTCCAAAAACTTTCCAGTGACTTATGAACCTAGTATTGGCAGAACTCCAAAGCCACGCGTTATACGTGTATTGAGATGACGTAGTAGTGTTCCCATAAACGCTCATCGAATACGATTCAAGCGGTTATTAAGGAGGCTTGATGCGCCAATCTAACAATCGTAAGCAAGAAATGCCCTTTGTTACAACGTGAAGCAACGATATTCGATCATGTTATTAAAGGTGGCATAATAAAACAGGATCTTTGAAAATCGGAATCATTTCATGAAGTTCCTATACCTAAAAATCCAAAAAATGTAAAGCCATAGCTTGGATTGACGGGATATTATTGTCAATTCATCATAAACTATGCAAAGACAGTTAGACAGCTTTCTATAATTACATCACCTACAGTTGCATTCACATGAGGCGCAGAGCAGTAAAAAGCCTTCAAAACACTGCGAAACATTTTATGTAGTGAACTTCTGCTCATAACTTCCAACCTAACTAAAGAGTTCATCGTTACGATGGATATACTAAGTCAAAAAAAATCAGGGTGTGATAAACCTCGTGCTGTCTTGCCTCTCGTTGTTTGAAAGGAGCCAAGTTATAATACTTGATTTACCATTAAGAGTTGTGTGCTGTTGTTTTCGTGATCGAACAATTTCAACATTTTTTACATAGTCAAAAATTCACAGTTGTTATAAACCACGAGTTCTTGAAGAACTTTTCCACCTCGTAGAAATGCGAGTTACGATTCAATGAACTCAAGGCCCAGCTGACAGGGTACGAATTCGAAATTATTTACTGACCGGGATGGGGAAATATAAATGGTGATGCTTTCTTTCACTATCCAATCATTAGATAGGACAGGAAAACCCGGTAAGACCTAGAGTAGAGTTACATTAACTAATGAACAAACACGATCAACTGAATCCATGCATGTTATGTTTCGAGAAACGGTTTTTTACTTTAAATTCTCCAATATTGAAGATACCGTCTAGTAATGAAATTCAGCGTCAAGATCTGTTGTGTTACTAGTCATCATTAGTGTTGCAATCTCCATGACATTAGAACAGCAAAAAACTTGTTTTATAGTTGATATCGGAACAATTGTACCAGGTAAATAACCCACATTTCGCATGATCATGCACAAAATAGACGTAAATCAACCAGTTTTCAAACAGGATAAACTATTGATGAATACAGAGTCAGCGCGGAAAAAACTGCTGACAACAAAACAGGCAAGAGATGAAAATGGACTGCCGGATGCAAAAGCTGATAAATCAGTTTGTGACGATATAGAAGCTGTGTCGTTCGTATACAGTAAAGAGTCAGATAATACTAAGGTGTGAAAGTTACAGTTGTGATCTTGCAGTAAAAGCTTAGGCACATTGGCATATACAGATATGCCAGGCATCACAGATGATACCTGAAACAGATAACGAACACGACTATGCAATGTGAGATGAAGTTCGCACTGTGTTGACAAACCACTCACAAATACCTTTTACTTCCGTGAGTCCAAATTTGAAATGATATATTAAATATACCGAATATTCGCAATGTATACAACTCAACCCCATGTAAGATTCAAGAGCAATGACGCTATTCCGGGTGATGGAAATTGCCTTTTTAATTCACTAATAAAATTGAAGTGTCTCAATATGTTAGCATCTGATATCTACATAAAACATTGCTCGCGTGTTCATCAATATAAGTATATGGGAACCCATTAGCAGTCTATGAAATTTTTCCTCCAAAACGTGCTCCGGTGATATTAATTCCTTTCTTATAAATCTATC